TTGTTCATACGTGTGCAAACAGTGCATATTTTATGCATGTGTATGCATATGCTTGTGTGTGGGGAGCGCTAGGGAGCGATGGTGCAGCGGTTAGCGCGCTGCGCTAAGAACCTGGCGACCCAAGTTCGATTCCTGCTCACGGCCAACACCAGTGACGATTATCTGAACCGGTCCTGGGCCTCCCCTAGGTCGACTTAGCCTTAAATGAGTACCTTGTGCGATGTGTAAACATCGCTACTAGGGAGACAGGCGGCCGGGCGTGGTATTTTTTTTGGGGGAGCGCTGGTGTAGTGGTTACTGCACTGCACTACACAACCCAGCGACCAGTTTGATTCCCACTTACGGCCAACACCATGAGCGCCGAATATCTGAACTGGTCTTGGGGCTCCCGGAGGTCAACTGCCTTAAAAAAAGTACCTGGTACTGTGTGTATAAAACATCAGTACTGGGGAGACAAAGGCAGCCGGGCTTGCTGGTGGCCACCCACCCCCTCGTGTGCTGATCCGGCCTTTGTAGGTGCTCGCGAAAAGCACCTACAAAGGCCGTTGTCTATTCCTCTGTATGTGTATCTATCTGCCAGTCATCTCAGTCAACCCATGGCACCTGGGTCTGTCCTGTGACCTGCCAGCGGGCGTTGAACACTTCACGTGACCTTAAAGTGCACACAGCCTGGCATGAGCGCCGTGGTGACGCCACCGCCACTTGGTCGCGAATGGCGTTTTTTGTTGCAGTGTATACATCTGTCTCTGCGTGCATCTGCGTGTTTCTGCGCGTCTTGTCGATATTGTACGATTCACAGGTTGGCCAGGTCGCCTACTCGGCCTCCAAGGGCGCCATCGTGGGCATGACGCTGCCGATAGCGCGCGACCTGGCGCCCCAGGGCATCCGCGTGATGACCATCGCTCCCGGTGAGGCCTCCAGAGCGTGCGCGATCGCATCTAAACACACCCCGGCTCAGAGGAGTTCTAACGTCCACTCCTGCTCGTCCCCGATCCGTACGTCGTCATCATCGGCAGCCGTGGTTGAGGCAACAATGATGTCGCGTAAAAAAAACTGTAATTCGCAGAAACATCACAGGATTAGGTGGGTTACCCCCCGCCCCCCACCCCCCCGCCAAGAAATTCAGCGCGTGACTTACAAAAAGTCACGCGCTGAATATCAGGAAGGAAGTGCCCAATCTGACGTGTCGCCCACAGCCACTTCCAAGATGCCACTTTAAGTCTGAATTCAGATTCACGATTTCCATGGCCACCATGGTCAATCCAATTCCTGGATGAAGGCCTCCTCCCCCAAGCCGTCGCCATCTCTCAACAGTCCTTGCAGTAAACACATTCCTGCGGAGGGAGCTGGTAGGAACGTTGGGTTGCTCGGTCAATGGCCAGGGTCAACGGCGGCGTGGTGTATTCCGCAAATATGCCCGACTGTGAGGGCGGGCACAAGCCGGCGTGAGTAGGTTAAACGTTGAGTTTTATAAGGGCACCACGGAGTGACCAGCCCCTCCCCACCCAGCCCCACCCCTCCCAGCCCCACCCAGCCCCTCCCTCCCCACCCAGCCCCTCCCTGCACGATGGACGGACGGACACAATAATCCCCTGTGGGCTGGTGTAACCAGGAGGTTCCTACCAGTAGGAATCCACCCAGCACGTGCACTTGGACTGAGCTCACTGCTCCATCTCCCCTGCTACGCTTCCTTTTCTGGCTGCCGCTCGGTTGTTATGCTCAAACCACCGGCCATCATCCCTTGCCGTCAGAATCAGAATCTTTATTTATCCTGGAGAAATCTGTGGAGTTATGAAGCCCCCTTTTTCACACGTGTCCAGTTTTCAGTGTGGTGGTTAGCGCGCCGCGCCACGAACCTGGCGACCCGGGTTCGATTCCCGCTCACGGCCAACACCGGTGACGAATATCTGAACCAGTCCTGGGCCTCCCCTAGGTCGACTCGGCCTCGAATAAGTAACTGGTGCGGTGTGTAAACAACGCCACTAGGGAGACAAAGGCGGCCAGGCGTAACGCTGGCCACCCACCCCCTCGTGTGCCGTGCTGGCCCTCATAGGTGCTCGCTAACAGCACTTGCCAAATTCTATCAAGGCTATATGGGGGACCTTTGTTTGTATGTATATCTGTTAATGTGTCTAAACAAGTCTGCGCGCTTGTATATGCGCGTCTGTCCATCCTCCCAGGCTTGTTTGCGACGCCGCTACTCATGACGCTGCCCGAGAAGGTGCGCGAATTCCTGGCGCGCCAGGTGCCTTTCCCCAGCCGCCTGGGTGACCCCTCCGAGTACGCGCAGTTGGTACAGTCCATCTTGGAGAACCCCATGCTTAATGGGGAGGTCATCCGGCTGGACGGCGCCATCCGCATGCAGCCTTGACTCGCGAGGGGAGCGGTGAGGAGCAGGTGAAATCAAAGTGGACTTTCCCAACAACCTTGCCCCACTCCTCCACGCCACCACTTTCGTCCACGCAAAGTGGGTACGGTCCATCGCAGAGTTGCGGGCAATGGGACCGCGTGGCCAATCGCAGCTTTGCAGTCACGTGGGGCTAACCGAGCTAATTCGACGTGACCGCCGCGAAAAGAGGCTTCCGTTACGTCGCGTCCGATTGGTTCGACGGGCACCGTGCGATCGCTCCGCTGGGCGTGCGTTTGGCCACCTACCGCGCTGTGTGCCGCGGAGATATTTTCATGGTTGCAGTGTCGTAGAAAGTTTGGAACGATTTGGCGGGATTGGCCGGGGGGGGGGGGGGAGAAAAAAATAGTTAACTCTGGACAGATTTTCTGGGTTACAGATGAAACCTTACTTACAAAACAATAACGATGAAATATCTCGAACGACGCTTTTGATTCATGAAACATGTGTGCGCGTCGCACATTTAAATGATTCCGAGCTTCTCACTCGTCGAGGGTCAGCGACTCTGTGGCTCTTGGCGACCCCGAAACACGTCGGCAAGTAAACCAATCGACAATAGAGACGTGACGGTAATTGTTTTCATAGTATTATTTACATAATTGCATTGTTTTATCCGGATCATTCATCCTCTCCCCCACCTCAGCCATACCCCGGATTATTGAGAGGTTGACTCTCGCCCTACCTACCTGTAATTTCAGCCACATTTGTACCAGGCAACAACCTCGTACGTCCAACATTTCGCTTGCTTTTGCGTGTAATTTCACGATTAATGTGCAACTGTGAACTGCTTAGGGATTTGCTCGTAATTGTCACGGGTTACTTTCGTTTCGCAAAATCGCCTTTACACACCCTTGCAAAGGCTTCATTAAATCGTCGATTCTCGCTTGAAAAGTTACGAACATTCTAGTGCCTCGGGGTGTCACTGAAAAAATATGAATTAAAATTTTGGAGTTCATATCCCATCGAATTGTCAGATGCAGTTGTTTTTAGGCAGAGAAAGGGAATCGGGTCTTGAGTTTCAACTTGAACAGGGCAGAGAGAGTACGTGTGAAGTCTTGAGTATTTGTGCGAGTCCGTGTGTCTCGGCGAATTGCATAAATGTATGAGTGTGTGTGAATCTATGGGTATCAATTCTGTGGGGCCTATTTTCGTTGGAGTCTATGTGTCTCTGTGAATTATCGTATGAGTCTACGGGTCTCTGCGTGAGTTGCTCAGCAACCGCACCTCAACAACAAGAACGGTCATCCTTGCACCAATTGTTGCCTCCCGGCGGTTTGGTTCTGAGTGGTGCCTCCCATCTGACTGGCCACCATCGATGTTATAAATTCAGTTGGTTGCCGAGTTCCCATTTAGTTTCCATCCACAAAGTACGCTTCTCAGCACCAATCGCCGAGTTAAAAAAAAAAAACGACATCAGTTGCCTTGCAGAGTGCATTTCACAAGAAATCACACACGGTGCGTTCCGTAAACACAACGAACGAACGCTTACCTTGGGGATAAGAGACGTTCCGAGGCTAAGCCCAATTTGGGGGAGAGGTCACGACCCCGAGGTTGGAAACTACTGGAGATATCGTCCGTGTGTCAGTCCGTCCGTCCAACGATTCTGACTTTGCCTTTCCCCCGTGAACGTCGCTACATCCATTGGCCGTGGTTCACTTCGCGCCAAGCGTTTCGCGTTCACGAATGATTTGTAAAGAATTCTTACGGATTAATAAAGCGATAAAATACTTGACGTGAAATATTCGCAAAGTTGTCTCTTCCTGGGTGGTTATTTGTGGATTAGTAATTTACTCAAGATTTCGTCTGTGTGTTCGGCTTTGATAGGGATGCCGACGATGACAGTGGTTCTAAAAATGACGAGAAATCAAGATGGACGCACAACTAAACGCACCTATATACACAATGGCACGAAGTGACGGTGACGTCACCACTGCTGCGCTCGTGCCAGGCACGGTGCACTTGGAGGCCGAGCGAAGTACTGAACGGCTCCCTGCCAGCGGGTTACGGGACCGAGCCGGACTTTACGGGTTAACTGACCGAGATGATTGGCAAATGCTCCCCGCTGCTGGCAAAATGAAGGCTTCCCCCCCCCACTCCCCAATCCACCACCATGCCCCTTTCGATGTCACGATGCCTCGCTCCTCACGCCAGATGCTCGTTACCGCTCCATCTCCTCTCACAGTAAGGGTACAGCGATTCCCTCGTTTAACACGGCAAATGCGTTCCTGGAAAGTGCCGCATTAAGCGAGGAATTGCCGAGTCGCTGAATCACGTTTGCGCTGTTAATTCAGCCCCATGTCGGGACAGAAAACTGAGATGAGGGTACGCCACCACCACCATACCCTCATCATTCCGCGGACTGTATCGTACCGCTCAGCCACGCAACTCCAGAAATTCGTTGTCGACTGCTCAGAAAGCGCACTTACAATGGGAGCGTCCCACGTTATAACGGACTCTTTCTGCGCTGTGCGAAGTGTTCCCTTATGGAAGAACCAACCTCGTCACAGCGACAACGTGTAAGAGTGTGAACACGTGATAGGCGAGGACTTACCGTACACAACCAAACGCAAATATTTTCGGGGACGCGGGCAAACACCGACCCCGTGGACCCTCGTTTCTGACGGTTGTGTTTATTTAAATATCACACTTTGCATTTTGATTATCCCTGAAAAATCAAGTACGATATTAAAACGGGTCAGTCACAACCAAAAGAGTCCACGTTAAGCAGACGTTGGTCCTTGCCAAATATACAAATGTCAGTAATAAAATAATGGTACCTGAAGCTCTGTATCAAACTTTGTAACTGTTATACAACCTGTTCTGTATCCTCGAACACGATGCCACATCATCATCAGCAGCAGCAGCAGCAGCCTGAGCTATCCGCTACTGGATAACGTCCTTCCCAGCACCGCATTGGTCATGGGGCTTGCTTGACCATACTTCACCACGCTAGTCAGTGCGGGTGAGTGAAGGGCGAGGCGCCCGGCATCTCACCACTGATATCAGTCGCAGGCAGGAATTGAACTCGGGGCTGCTGGTTTCCTAGTGCAGTGCAGTGACCACTGTGCTATGCCGTACGAATACAGCCACAGAGCCCTCTACTCGTCACAGTGTCAACGCGTCCTTCCAATAGGCCCAATGACAAATATCCGTGAATTGCGTTTACATTTCGAGATGCGCACAGTGCAGTTCACGAACGCGGAATAGCAACAGCAGCAACGAAAACCTTGACACACTTTATATTGATAAGCGGAAGTCAAGAAAATATTCCGGATATAAATTATCCCCAAGTATCTTTTTTTATATCGGCGCTTCATAATTAACATTAAGCGGTAACAAAATATTACATGTACATATTTTTGTTATGGGCGCAGACACCCTGACAGCATTCCACCAGCAGTGGATACAAAACGTTTTTATTAACAGATGGCGGCCCTTCCACAGGGCGTTCATGGAATGTGCGGTGGTGGTGATGGTGGTGATGATGATGATGATGGTGGTGATGGTGGTGGTGGTGGTGATGATGGTGGTGGTGGTGATGATGGTGGTGATGGTGATGATGGTGGTGATGGTGGTGGTGGTGGTGATGATGGTGGTGGTGGTGATGATGGTGGTGGTGGTGGTGATGATGGCGATGGTGGTGATGATGATGATGGTGGTGGTGATGGTAGTGGTGATGATGGTGGTGGTGGTGACGATGATGGTGGTGGTGGTGATGATGGTGATGGTGGTGATGATGGTGATGATGATGGTGATGATGATGGTGGTGGTGATGATGATGGTGGTGGGGACGATGATGGTGGTGGTGAGTGGAATCTATCAGGTCGCCCTCTGCCCTGGTTTTTCTCAGGATCGTCATCTTGTGCAGGAGGTAGCTGTTTGTCCTGGGAAATCTGTCAATCTTCCGAGGACATTGAAAATCGCCGTGGTTTTTTAGTGAGTTTGAGTCGTGATGAAGTTAAGAAAATACACCCCTCAAGGCAATGCATTCGCATGCAGTGCTCTCGCCATTTTGGTAATGACATTCGCGTTCGCTTCACGTAACGGACTCGACGTGTACCTAGCCCGGCACAACCACCGTGTCGACATCACTGACACTTGGTGGCAAATGTCAGCTGTTGTTGATGGCGAGTGGTTATGACAGTGATGGTGGTGATGGTGAGGAGGGTTACGTCCCATGTGGATGATGATGAGAGGAATGCCCCCACCACCCGCCAGAGGTCGCAACCGGGTACCCGATACCCGTACCCTACCCGATACCCGTACCTGGCCGGGTACGGGTACGGGTAGCCATTTGCGACCCTGGTGCGGCCGGGTACGGGTAAGGAATCAAAACCCGTTTGCCACCTCTGCCACCAGCCCATATGATCCGATTGTTTGATTCAAGTCACGATTCGTTCAATGTGCCGACTTCTCTTTTAAACAGTGGAGTTATAGCGCCTCTCGTGTCTGCATTAGAGGCACTACTTTACTCACATGCACGCGATCAGATGCGTGCGTCTTCAGTTTAAGCATAACAATTCTTAAGTGAATTACGATGCCCCTGATGGTGGTATCATCCATGGCGATTTTAGTTTTGTAGAAACCACGCTAACAATGACAGTGAAGGTGATGACGGTGATAACGATCCTGCCGACAATGGTGACGATGACGATGGCATCATCGTGCTGGGTGATGACGTTGATGATGATTCTGCTCATCATGATGGCGGATCAGCTGATTCTGCCACTGACGATTGATGACGTTGATTCCTTCATCACGACCATCCACTCGGCGTGGGCCAACAATGACATTTCTGCCCGTGATGCCGATGTTGAGGATGCTGCTGCTACTGCTGCTGAGACGATGGCACCGATGTCAGGGGTGACATCATGCCCACCATCAGCCTCCGTTATCTCTCCCCCTGCTAGGTGTGCCAACGATGATGATGATGTTCATCACAATCATAGTAATAATGATGATGATACTAACAATGACTTCCAAAAATAAAGATGCCGATGATGATATAGACAATGACAAAGTCGGCGACATCACACCCTCGCTTTCCATTAATATTGTCAACTGGGCAGGCCAACGATGAAGATGACGATGGTGGAGCTGCTCATGTTAATGGTGACATCATTACCACCCTCTCTTCACTTCTTCAGCTACCCAACTACGATGATAAAGTCACAATGCCAATAATAAAACTGCTGATGGCAAATCATTCTGACGAGTACAACGCCAGTGTAACATAGGCCGGGGGTTCACACCCGGAGCGATCAGCTTCTCGAATCAGATCAGCAACTGCTCGAAACATCGCAACGTTAAATTGCCCGCGACTGCTTTGTCCACTTCTGAGCAATGAGTTGCTCAGAAGTGGACAAGGATGTGTGTGTAGGTGTGGCTACACAGTATGGCCATGCCCCTCACAGCAGAGCCCTGCCCCTTGTCTGGTGACCCCCCCCTCCCTCCCACCCGACCCTGGTCAGGATCGTTAAAGTTATGAATTGGTAACGCTCTGCACAGTTGCCTTAGATTCCGAGGCACGGGAAATCCGAGTGGGAAGGCTCCACGAGTGGGTGATTGTGCGTGGAGAAGGCCATCTCCACTGTGAGCAACCCGATGAGAAACCTCGCAACTGGCAACAGAGACACAATTCCGTTGCGCGCAGCCAAGTTGCGTGCAACCGATTGCGCAGGCGCCGAGGACGCGGCTTAGCACCGACCTTCCGCGACTTCCTCTGCCAGGCGTGCCGACGACGATGACGATGATGACGACGATGTCAACAGTCGTGAAGTATTATGACATTACCAATGTCAAATATTAAGGTGCTCATCGCGCTCATAATTCTAACCCTGACGACGACGACGACGACTTAACTAACACCGCCGCCCCCCCCTGATCACTTCTTCTGCTGACCGTGTCGCCCCGCGCGGTTGACGGCCGATGGCGGCGGCGGCCGGAACGTGGTGAGGCCGGGAGATACGGCGGCGGGGCTGTGGCCGGCGCCTTCGGCCGCCGCGGGCGACGGGGGTAGGGTGTCCTGCACCACGTCCGGCACGGCGAGCGCCGGCGGGAGGACCTGAGCGGAGCGCGGCGTCACCCAGCGCTGGCGGTGGAGCGCGGCGTTGGAGGCGGAGGAGCCGGCGTGCGGACGGAAATCCCGCTTGTCCTAACGGGGGAGGAGGAGGACGGGCAAATTGACAATGGGTTTCACGAGAGTGGTGGCTGTTGATTATTTTGGGATGGTGCCCCCCCCCCCCTCGCCCTGCCCCCCCCCCCCGCCCCGGCCCCCACCCCGCCGTGGCCTGCTCCGACACCTCCCCCAAATTAAAACTACTAAAAAATAAACTTTTTTATTTTACCAGGTAGGGCACACTGAGCAATATAGCTCCGTTTCAGAAGCGACCTGGCCACAAATGATAGCTCAACGAAGTGGCTTGTCGCGTGGAAACAACCAATTATCACAATATAGTTCTTCAGGAATTAGTGGTTTTGCATAACGCTGAAGGCTGAGAGAGCTGTGCCCATTTCTGTGGGTTGTTGAAACAATCAATACAACTGCAAGTGGACACATCTTCATAGGTTTTTTTGCACTTTTCTGGCCACAAATGATAGCTCAACGAAGTGGCTTATCGCGTGGAAACATATTCTTAAAAACGCGTGTTGTTGATTCTAAATGTGGAGGGACCCAGAGAAAAATCGCACGCGACCACGGGGAGACAGAGACATGCAAGCTCGAAATATCACGGTTGGGATCAAACGACCTGCATACCAAGCGGCACCCAATTAAGACCCGTGGTCTGTGACCACCCCACCCCCCACCCCTCCTAGATTCAGAAACTGAATTTTACGTCGTGCGATCGAATCCAGATAAGACACGGATTCGATTCCAGGATTTCAGCATCCTGGTAACATGGAGATGAGTACACCCACAGAGATACGTCAACACACACCACATTCAGATTAGCCAGTCATTCTTTCCATCGTTTTCAATAATCCGAATCTCTGACCACGACTCCACTCACTTTGGCGTCAGGGTTGGCCACTGCCGGCTGCCCCGAAGTGACGGAACGGACTCCTCCGCCCGGCGACTTGGACTCCGGCTGGACCTCAGCATTACCGAATCCGGACTTGCCCTTCCGAATCTCCGGACTGCTTTTATTCCAGTCCGGGGAAGAAGAGGCGCTGTGTTTATTATCATCCCTGTAAAAAAAAAAAAACCCACATTACTTTCACGGTCATCACAATTAGCAGGTAGTCGCTATGTCGTTCCGTGGCCAAGCCGTGGCAAGCTGCGGCGGGTTAGTTCGATGGTATCCGGCTGCGGCGAGTAAATTGCATGGCAGGCAGGCAGGCGGCGGCGACCACACGGCACGCAGGAAAGCGAGCGATGGAATTCCGCGTCGGGGGGCGTGCCAAGCCACGGCAGGCTCCGGGCGGGCACGCCGGGTGGGTGCCGGGTTGCGGGCGGCGACCCCCGCACACCCCACCGCGAGCCGTGGACGCTTGCCGGGCTCACCACGGCTCGACGTGGCCGGGGAGCTGCAGGTAGTCGTGCGGTACGGCGCCGATGCGGTCGCCCGAGCGCGCCTCCCACCAGTCGACGGAGGTGCGACGGAGCAGCTCCAGCTTGTCGCCCACGCGAAACCCGAGCTCCCGCTCGGAGCGAGCGGCGTAGTCGTAGCGAGCCACCGCCACGCACGGGCACGGGTCTAGAGAGAGGGGAGAACGTACGCAGCACGTACTCACGTGGGCGAGAGTGCGGGCACACGGACACATGTACACGTGTGCACACATGCACAGGTGGGCGAGTATTTACACTATGAGACATCTCCTTTACCAGTGGCAAAATATAGTAATAGGTTTTTACTCTTTCAACTGGTACAAAAACTGACACCTTTATACAAGGCATCATGTTTGCAATAACCACAACACAAGCAGTCAAAATGCAAACAAAAAGAAGCAACTCTGATGATGATAATAATATGCACTGTCCTTGAAGTTGATTGGTCGTACGCCTTTTGGCGTCATCTGGTCCAACACCAATGGAGACTAGGCTCTAAGAAAAGCTGTCTCGGGTGTGGACCAATCAACTTCAAGGACAGTGCATATCATCATCATCAGAGTTGTTTCTTTTTGTTTGCATTTTGACTGCTTGTGTTGTGGTTATTGCAAACATGATGCCTTGTATAAAGGCGTCAGTTTTTGTACCAGTTGAAAGGGTAAAAACCTGTTACTACAGGTGGGCGAGTGTTACGTTTGAGTTACAAATGCACACACATGCACAGACCACACATGCATATGCGTGTGTCCACAGTCAGCAAACGTGTGGTAATAATGAAGATGAGTTGAAGGGGTGAAAAGGTGAGGTGGCAAGGGAAGGAGGTGACGGGGGCGATGAGGTGACGACTGACGCTCACCATCGTCTACGGAGATCTCCTCTTGCGACGTCCCGTCGTCGCAACGTAAACCCTCAGCCGACGAGGAGTCACTGTCGCACATCGACACAAAGTCATCGTCATTGCCGTCATCACTGCTGTAGGCAAGTGCATCGCCAACAAGCGCTACCCTCGCCACCACCAAAGACAAACATCCCTGGTATAGCCTCAACAGAATGTCGGGGCAAGTGCTGTTTGCGAGCGCCTATGAAGGCCGGCACGGCACACGAGGGGGTGGGTGGCCAGCACCACGCCCGGTCACGTTTGTCTCTCCAGTGGCGATGTTTACACACCGCACCAGGTACTCATTTTAGGCCGAGTCGACCTAGGGGAGGCCCATGTCCAGTTCAGATAATTATCACTGGTGTTGGCCGTGAGCGGGAATCGAACTCAGGTCGCCAGGTTCGTAGCGCAGCGCGCTAACAGCTACACCGCCGCTCTCCAACTGCTCCAACCACCACCAGCACCACCGCCGCTCCCCAACCACCACCACCACCGCCCATCCACCACCGCCCACCACCACCGCCCACCACCACCGCCCACCACCACCGCCGCCGCCCACCACCACCACCGCCCACCACCACCACCGCCCACCACCACCACCGCCCACCACCACCACCGCCCACCACTGCCGCCCACCACCACCGCCACCCACCACTACCGCCCACCACCACCACCGCCCACCACCACCACCGCCCACCACCACCACCGCCCACCACCGCCGCCCACCACCACCGCCACCCACCACCGCCGCCCACCACCACCGCCGCAACCACCACCGCAACCACCGCCGCCGTTCTCCGCACCACATCTCGTCGTCGTCCTCGTTGTCGGGCGCCAGGACGGGCCGGTAGATGGGGCCCGGGAGCTCTCGCGGTGACGGGAAGAGCGAGTGGGCCTCCACCAGGATGAGCTTCACCAGCTCGATGGAGCCGCCCTGGCACATCACCTGGTCGAACTCGGGTGGCACGGGTGCCAGCGTTGGCCCAAAGCACACCGCCAGATTGTAGCTGTCCATCATGTTCTCATCGCGGAAGCCCGACAGGCTGTAGGGCGAGACACGGGGAGGGAGACACGCGGGGAGAGAAGGGCAAGGGAGGAGACACGGGGAGGGAGACGCGGGGAGGGAGACGCGGGGAGGGAGACGCGGGGAGGGAGACGCGGGGAGGGAGACGCGGGGAGGGAGACGCGGGGAGGGAGACGCGGGGAGGGAGACGCGGGGAGGGAGACGCGGGGAGGGAGACACGGGGAGGGAGGAGACACGGGGAGGGAGGAGACATGGGAGAAGTGGGAGACATCGGGAGGGATGAGAGATATGAGCAGCACGCTGCCAGGTTGTAGTCATTCACATTAGATGTTTTTGTATTGATATAAAAATAGAAACGTATTGTAGTTTTCCTATCAAAGTGTCAAGTGCTCCCCTGCGCCAGTCTGGCTCAACTGTAAACATTTCATAACCGCTTATGTTTAAACATTGCACACAGCTCATTGTAAAAGTGCAACATTCCAACTGATCTATTAATCACCTGTCAGAATCAATTGACGAGTGTTTTTTTTACGTTCTATTAGCCTCCTGTCATGGGAATGTGGAATATCCAGTTCAATCAGGTCAGGCCACCAACAGAGAAGAGGACTTAAAACAACGTTCGCTTGAGGATGGAGACACTGTTCCATCCGACTGGAATAACAAAAAAAAGTCACCCAGAATCAGAATATTTATTCTTACTGGATGAATCCAATTAGCTATAAAGCTCTTTTTCAGGATTCTGCATCTGTTTCCCAACACGCGTGTTTGTCCTCCGAAGTGTTTCATCGTTGAAATTACGTCAACCGTGGAGATGGAGCGATGAAATCCAGGTGCCCTAGATGGATTGTTCCACACTGGGCCCGCACAAGGGATTAACAAAGGCTCGGAAAGGTCTTGATCCAGCGGTGAATAGAACATGGATGATGATGATGATGATGACGATCACGATAACGTTGAGGAGGCGGAGACAGTGGAGGACGATAATGACCATGATGATATTGATTTAAAGCTTTCGTGACTGCAGGGATTCAAATTCTTGGTTCTTTCGGTAAAGTCACATAGAAGGGAAATAATAAAAATATTAAATGATAAAATTCTCACGACGTTTCGACTGCAACACAAGCAATCATCATCAGGTGTGAAATCCACAGCAAGAAAAAAAATTCACATTTTTATTTTCACATTTTCTTGCTGTGGATTTCACACCTGATGATGATGATTGCTTGTGTTGCAGTCGAAACGTCGTGAGCATTTTATTCTTTTATATGTCTATTATTTCCCTTCTACGTGACTTTACCGACAGAACCAAGAATATAGACCATGATGATATTCAGGAGGTAGCTATAACTGGCATCTTTTGATAACGTGAAGAGGTAACGGAAGACAACAATGATGGCGATGATGATGAGGATGATGATGAGGATGATGATGCTGATGAGGTGATGACTGTGGCCGTAACTCACTGGTTGAGGAAAGTGAAGAGGTAGCGGAGGACGACGATGACGGGACCAGGGAGCTTGCGGATGAGGTCCCGGAGGTGAGCGATCCTCTTATGATACTCAGAGATTTCTGGGTAACGAACGCAATCACTGTTAGCGAGCGCCTATTACCATCGGCATGCTACACAGGTATGTAGGTGTGTGTGTTAGTGTGTCTGTGTTATTGTGGCACAGTAGGGGGTACAGGTGGTGCATCGGCCAGTCATCTCAGTCATTGGACCCATGGCATCTGGGTGTGTCCCGTGACCTGCCAGCGGGCGTTCGACACTTGACGTGGCCTTAACGTGCACATGGCCTGGCACAAGCGCCGTGGTGACGTCACCGCCACTTAGTGGCGAATGGCGGTTGTTGTTATTGTGTTGGCATAGTCGGGGTCACATGTGGTGCGTGGGCCAGTAATCTCAGTCAGTGAACCCATTTCACCTGGGTCTGTCCCATGACCTCCTGCCAGCGGGGATTCTACATTTCACGAGGCCTTAACGTGCACATAGCCTGGCACAAGCGTCGTGGTGGCATCACCGCCACTTATTGGGAAATGTTGTTATTGTGTTGGCATAGTCGGTTGTTGTAGCGTAGCGCTTCACGCGGCGATCCGAGTTCGGTTCCCGCTGACGGCCACCACCAGTGGCGATTGTTTCAACCGGTCCTGTGCCTCCTCTAGGTCGACTCAGACTCAAATGAGTAGCAAGGTGCGGTGTGTAAACATCGCCATGAGGGAGACAAAGGTGGCCGGGTGTGGTGCTGGCCACCCACCGCCTCGTGTGCCGTGTCGGCCTTCGTAGGTGCTCGTTAAAACAGCACTTGCCCCAACAGTCTGTTGAGGCTACATGAGGAATATCTGTCTCTGTTAAGACAACGACCCTCATGTAGCCTACACATGCTGTTGGGGCAAGGTTCAAACGTCACTCGCCACTGACTCGCACAGATTGTGGCCGAAAATCAAACCCAGGTCACCGCATTCGTCGAGCAGCGCATTCACAACCGCTATGCCACCACTCCACACAGAACCACTTCGGAACCTCCCCTAGGTCGGCTCAGCCTGAAACGAGTACCGGTGCGGTGTGTGGGATGACACAGGCGGCCGGGCGTAGTGCTGGCGCCGTGCCGACCTTCACGTGTGCTTGATAACGGCACTTGCCACGATGGTTAAACGCTATACGGGGGATATTTTAATCTTAATTTTGGAGCTTTCGTGACTGCAGGAATTACTCTTTGCTTTTTTCGGTAAAGTCACGTATAAAGATAAAATAATAAAATAAATAATAGCATACGACGTTTCGATTGCAACACAAGCAATCATCATCAGGTATAAATGAAATAGCGACATAGAATCTAACCAGAAAACTATAGACAGACATATAAGCAGACAGATATCACCAAGATACACAGAGAGAGCAACACAGGTACAGAGAGGGGTGATCGTCTCTGTGGGGTGGCCTTAAATAGACAGAGGGGGGCGAAGGCAGAGAGAGGGAGGGGGTAGGGAAAAAATGTACATGTCAATGAGTACGAAGGGACGCGTAGTAAAGTACGCAGGCTTAGAGGGAGACAGAACACACTAAATTAAATAACCTAGCAAAGTATCGAAATGTTATGTAGAACGACACATTTGTCTCCGTGTGTGCGCGTGTCTTACTGATGCAATCCAGGAAGTCTTGGTACATGTGCGAGGGGAAGAGAGGCTTCTCCAAGCCCCGGAAGTAGGCCTTGAGCACGCCAGCCACGCTGTCTATCGTCCGCCCGTCATCGTCGTCATCCAACGGGTCCTCACCTGGTGAGCGGAATCAGCCACGAAACCACCATCAGCATCTTCTTGGTTCTTTCGGTAAAGTGACGTAGAATGGAAATAATAAAATAATAAAAATAAAACGTAATAAAATAATTCTGTCGACAGACTTGTTTCTCCACCTGAGGACGGCTGCTTGCGTTGTGGCCGAAGCGCCGTGAGAATTATTTTATTGTGTTTTATTATTTTATTATTTCCATTCTACGCGACTTCACCGAAAGAGCCAAGAAGATGAATCCCTGCAGTCACGAAAGAAGCTTTAAATCACCATAAGCATGTGTGACATACGACGTCAAGCCCCCCCCCCCCCCCCTGATAACCGGGATCAACCACGATGACCAGAATAAACCACGAAACCACCAGCAACATGTGATAACCGGAATCAACCCAAATAACCGACATCGAACGTGAAACCCACCATCAACACGTGATATGTAACGTCAACCCCGATAACCGACATAAAATTATGAAGCCACCATCATCAGCATGCGTGGAACGCCATCAGCCCCGATTCCGGCCATCCACGGCAATGACCGACATTTCCTCAATCCTATCAACCACCAGCCCCGGATAACCGCCACCAACCCCAAATTAACCGAAATCAACCCCCAATGATCGCCATCCCACAATCCCTCCTCCCACCATCCACGACGTCGATCGACCCCGATATCCGGATGGTGGCGCTGCATGTCGCACCTCTCTCGAACGCCGATTTGATTTCGGTCATCTGCGTCAGCGATCCCGATATGCGGAAAATTCCCTCGTGGTGGAGCCCTGAGGTGTCAGAATAGTGAGCGTTAGAACGAGCGTGCGAGCTCTCGCACAACCATCACGTCACCGCTACACCACTCACACCGCGACTACACCACTCACACCGCCGTTACACCATCGTGATAACACTCACCCCACCGCTACACCACTCACACCACCGTTACACCATCGTGATAACACTCACTCCACCGCTACACCACTCACACCACCGTTACACCATCGTGATAACACTCACACCGCAACTACACCACTCACACCACCGTTACACCATTGTGATGACACTCACTCCACCGCTACACCACTCACACCGCGACTACACCACTCACACTGCCGTTACACCATCGTGATAACACTCACCCCACCGCTACACCACTCACACCACCGTTACAGCAATCACACCACCGTTACACCATCGTGATGACACTCACTCCACCGTTACAGCACTCGCACCACCATTACACCATCTTAATACCACTCACTCCACCTTAACACCACTCACACCACCTTATCACCACTCACACCGCGACTACACCACTCACACCACCGTTACACCATCTTAATACCACTCACTCCACCTTAACACCACTCACACCACCGTTACACCATCTTAACCCCGTCAACCCGTGAGGTATACGGCGTGGTGTCGTACCGTGCAGATTGATGTAGCGTACACAGCTCTCGACCACCATGGGCACAGGCTTGTTAGACTCCTGGTGAAAACAAGAAGACACCAATGCATATCAACACCTACTCAGTTTAACACGAAGGCTTTCGCGACCAATATTATTCATAATAAAGGTTTTTTGGTCAGAGCGCGTTATTTATAAATGTGTCGTAACCCTCCACCACCCGACACGGCCAATCAGTAAAAAAGTGTCACGTTGACAAAAGACAAATAGTTCACTGCTTTAGCCCACCGGTGTGTTGAAGAGTGAATCCACAACATTTGCAGTTTTTGAGTAGGACGTTTCGCTGGTAATTACATCCAGCATCATCGGGCAATTCGCCAGAATGGTGAAGCCCTCCACCTGCTCCCGATCTTAAATCGAGCAGCAGGGTGACGTCATCATTTAACCCAATCAGGTGCAGAGATCAGAGGCGGAGGGGGGGGGGGTATTGTAATTATATGATAGATTAGTAATCAGTGCATTGTTATGATTACAATGAGTTGTAGATTAGTAATTAGTTGTAGATTAGTAATTAGTTGTAATGTGTGTTATTGTAATTATATGCTACGTTAGTAATCAGTTTATTAGTATGTGTTTCCCCTATAAGGAATTGTAATATGTATTATTTAATAATACGCTTCCAGGCCACACTAAGCCTGCAGCTGTCAGAGCGATTAAAGTTATTTCTCACCTACTGCTGCACAAAAGAACACGTGGCAATTCGCAATGATTCACTCTCGTTACACTTGATAATTGTTTTTTTACCCTTCTATCTGGCAACAAAACTGACACCTTTTTTTACAAGGAGTCATGATTGCATAGACCACAATACCTGCAGCCATAATGCAAACAAAAAACACAACTCTGATAATGGATGCACTGTCCTTGAAGTTGATTGGTCCACACCCGAGACAGCTTTCCATAGAGCCTAGTCTCACATGGGTTGGACCAGATGACGCCAAATCCAATTATCATATTTTTTACTGGCAAAAGAGGTTCCAATGGTCTCGTTACACTTGTTTACCCGTGACAGCCTCACTTTTCAGGAGGCTCCTGTCTGTGCCAATATTCCCCCCCCCCCATCCCAAGCTCTGCGGACCTCTACATATGAAGGTTTTATCGGCCAATTAACGAGGATTCACTTGCCCCAACAGTCCTGGGACCATAAATCTCGATTGGAAACGAATTTCAGGACGACTTTTTGCGTTCAGTTTGTCGTCCTTCCCCCGCACCTCCGATCAGCACGTTTGGCTACGTACGGTGCGAAAGAAGTTCAACGTAGACACACACACCTTCTTGGTTCTTTCGGTAAAGTCACGTAGAAGGGAAATAATAAAATAATAAAAATAAAACAATAAAATACAATTCTCACGACGTTTCGGCCACAACGCAAGCAGCCGTCCTCAGGTGAAAACCAGGTCTGTCGAGGCGACAACATTCAGACGCTGTCTCCCCGACAGACCTGGTTTTCACCTGAGGACGGCTGCTTGCGTTGCTTGCGTTGTGGCCGAAACGTCGTGAGAATTATTTTATTACATTTTATTTTCATTATTTTATTATTTCCCTTATACGTGACTTTACCGAAAGAACCAAGAAGATGAATCCCTGCAGTCACGAAAGCTTTCAATCGGTACATCCACACGTCAACGCGGCAGATCCGTGTTCGAGGCGAGCAGGTCCCCCCCTCACCTTGATGTACGTCTCGAGGTCTCCGTTAAACAGCTTCACGGCCACCCGCGAAGCTGGCCGGTGCCTCCGGATCTTCTGCGGCTTTGGCGGGATGGACGGAGGCCTGAACCGGCGATGGCAAGCGAGGGCAACGTCACACACGTGCGCACAGATTGCTGCAACTTTCCCAGCGTGCCTGTGGCCGCGAGGTGCCGGTTCGTGCCACCGCGCACAGAATCAGAATATCTTCTTGGTTCTTTCGGTAAAGTCACGAAGAAGGGAAGTAATAAAATAATAAAATAATGAAACATTATAAAATAATTCTCACGACGTTTCGGCCACAACGCAAGCAGGACGGCTGCTTGCGTTGTGGCCGAAACGTCGTGAGAATTATTTTATTATGTTTTATTTTTTTATTATTTTATTACTTCCCTTCTACGTGACTTTACCGAAAGAACAAGAAGATGAATCCCTGCAGTCACGAAAGCTATAAATCGAATTAGAATCAGAATAGTTCTTTATTCTTAAGGAATCCGATGAGCTATGAAGCTCTCACACGTGTTCAGTAGGGGCACAGGGTCAGAACGGTTACAACAACAAGCAAAACACGATAGGAGTGCAAAGTACAGGAAGGATAAACCAATCACGAAAAAAAACTGAGCTATAGTTCTAATTTTACGAGGTAAAACCAACTGAGCTATTAGCTTGTTTTTCAGAAGCGACCCGGCCACATACGATAGCTCAATTAAGTGGATTCTCATTTGGAAATTGCCAGCAGCCAAAAACTCTGAACGCATGTCGATTGTAAATGTGAAGGGAAAAATCCGCGTGGCTACGGGGAGAGAGGACACTCAAACCAGGCGAGGTAGTTAACATTTCACGGCACTTGACCCAAGGCCACACGGGTGGGGGGGGGCGATCCTTTGTGAGCGATTTGATGCGATGTGCAGAACATTTGAGAAAGCGAGCGACTGAAAAGCACAGTTGGACAGCACAAACCTTGATCCGGAGTTTTCATTTTCCTTACCTGCGGGTAAAATAAATCGCACACAAAAAACACGCACAAACGTTAGCCCGTCCCGCAGCGGATCGGCCAGCGGGCACCAGCGGCGCAGCAATTCACCAAGCTCGGCGATTCAGGGCGGGCGATTCAATGTAACAGCAGCAGGCCGACACAGCAGCAAGCTGGTGCAGCAGCAGGCTGGTGATGATGATGAGAGAGAGACACGCAAACTCCAAATATACAGCAGCAGAAGGCGTCAGAGTCGAGATCGAACCCACGACCTCCTGTACACCAGGCGAGGTAGTTAACATCTCCTAGCCACCGTGATAATGAGAGAGACACGCAAACTCCAAATATACAGCAGCAGCAGGCGTCGAGGCCGGGATCTAACCCACGACCTCCTGTATACCAGGCGAGGTAGTTAACGTCTCCCAGCCACCGTGATGATGATGATAGAGAGAGACACGCAAACTCCAAATATACAGCAGCAGCAGGCGTTAGGGTCGGGATCGAACCCACGACCTCCTGTATACCAGGAGAGGCAGTTAACATCTCATAGCCATCGTGATGATGATGAGAGAGAGACACGCAAACTCCAAATATACAGCAGCAGCAGGCGTCAAGGCCGGGATCGAACCCACGACCTCCTGTACACCAGGCGAGGTCGTTGACATCTCCTAGCCACCGTGGCGTCCCAAAAACGGTGTCCTGCTAACCATTGCACCTCATTCACGTGCTACGAAGAAGTGCCATTTGGCCAAAACGTCACCGATTATATATTTTTCCTTTTAAGGCCGCGCACATAGTGTCATGGACAAATGTGTTGAGTTTTTTTTTATGTTAATTACAACTTAATATCCATCGTGAGCCCCCCTGCCCCCAAGTCAACAACTCAACAAGAGCCCCCACACAAATAATTGCCTCATTGCTTTACCCCCCACCCCGTTCCACTTCCCTCTGCCACATTTGCATTCGTGTCATAAACGCTTCTGTTTTTCGATTTTAGATGCATTTTTTTTTTCGCACAGAGGCCGAAGTCAGCGGCTTAATAGCTTGGACGTCACGAGCGCCGGCCAAAGCTGCAGGAAACACCGAAGCTCGTAGAACGGCGGCGATAAAATAAATGTTTAAACGATCGAGATTTTATGGCAAAGGACACAGAAAAATCTCACCCAAACCCAACCCATTCTCTGCCGATTTTGTGCAGCGATAGCTAAACAAAAACACGAGGAAGTGAAAAGGGGAGAAATAATTTAATTAATCTTGCACGAAAAAGCGGAAGGAAGCGAGAGACGCGTTTTGAAAGAGGAAAGGTTACGGTGGGAAAAAGTGAAGCCGCGGCAATGAATGTGGCGGACTGCCCGCAGGGTGACGAGTCTACGCAAGACAGTTATACGATGCAATGCGGAGTTGTACAGCGTACAAACGTGCAGAAACAGCGTAAACAGAACGTGCAGGCTTTCGCGACTGACATACCATTCGTGATAAGAATGTTGGGTCAGAACGCGCGAGTAAAAATGTGTGTCGTATACCCTCATAATCCGGCACAGCCAATTAATAAAGTCGTCATGTGATGAACAAACGTGCAAACGTATGACCTGCTTCAGACCGCCGGTGATGTGGGAGGGCAATTCCGCACCGCTGAACAATTGGGAACGACGCTTCGCTGGTAGCACGCATTTATTTTAAATCGGGGGAAAAAGAAAGAGGCATGAAGGATCTAACATTTTTAGATCATCCCGGCAGGGTGGTGGTGCAGTGGCAACTCGTGTCCGTGTTCCACTTCCGACCCGGGGTTTGTATGGGCCACCACTTTTTCCGCATGGGTTTTCTCTGGGTTCCGCGGTTTCGTCCCACAGCTAAAAAAAAAACCCCATGCCATGTGGCTGGTATTGGCCAGACGAAAAATCACAATGCTGAAAGCATTAATGGGCAAAGTCAGTTTAGCACGTAGGAGGCTTTCGCGACCAGAATTATCCATAACAGGTTTTTTTGGTTAGATCGCGTAAATATAAATGTGTCGTTAAACCCGCCACCACACGACAGAGCCAATACCTGCTTTAATCACCCAGGAATGTTTGTCCTTAACGCTCGTGACGTCACGCGTGGTGGTGACAGGTTTCACAACACATTTATATTTACGTCATCTAAGCCAAACAAACCTCTATTATGGATTAATCAGCAAATTGATCAATTGAGATTACACAGCAGCAGCAGCAGCAGCAACATTGGCCCCCTTTACTGAAAAAACACTTGGCAGGACCCTCCTGAACAAAGATCTCGAGACCCAGCGAGGCTTTGCTGGGTAAAGAAGCATTGTAGTGGTAGTAATAATAGTAATGTCATCTATTAGAGGTTTTTTTTGGGGTTAAATCGTGTAAATATAAATGTGTCGTTAAACCCGCCACCACCACCTGGCACAGCCAATTAGTAAGGTTTATCACGTGATCAAAAAGTGCCAATTCTTTACTATTCTTGGTTCTTTCGGTAAAGTCACGTAGAAGGGAAATAAGAAAAACTACAAATAAAACATAATAAAATTCTCACGACGTTTCGGCCACAAAGCAAGCAGCCGTCCTCAGGTGAAGAAACAGAGCTGTCTCTCTGTGGCCGAAACGTCGTTAGAATTTTATTTTATTGTTTTATTTGTATTATTTAATGATTTCCCTTCTACTGTGACTTTACCGAAAGAACCAAGAATATGAATCCCTGCAGTCACGAAAGCTTTAACTCTAAATTCTTTACTAGTTCAGCACACCGGTGTGTTGGAGAGTAAACCCACGACATTTACAATTCGAGCGCCGTGACGTTTCGCCGCTAATTACAACGGGCATCATCAGGCCACAGCCAGAGTTGTGGACAAATCCTCCTCCTGTTTCGGTCTTCAAGAGGGATAAGCATGATGTCATCACTTGTTGTGAGCCAATCAGAGGAGGGGGGGGGAGGGGTTAATTTATTCATATGAATGACAATGGAAATATCTATTATTGGTTTGATTATTCACAGTTAATATATCCCCAAGGCAAGCTTGTGGTGTGAGGAGGAAGGGGTAAATGTGGGCGGTGGGTGCCGAGCCAAAGCGTACCCTTGCCAAGCGCGCGACTCATCAGCCCGTGCTTTGCCTCCAGCTTCGTAATGATGCCGTTCATTTCCATAAAACTCTGCAGCTTCTGCGGGGTACAAACATCATGGTCGTAAAGTACAACGGTGCCGATGGTGATAGTGGCGATGAGGGTGGTGATGAATGTGGAAGCGATGAGTGTGGTAATGATAGTGGTGATTATGATGATGATAATTGGTTCTTTACCCTTCTATCTGGCAACAAAACTGACACCTTTTTGCAAGGAGTCATGTTTGCATAGACCGCAATACCTGCAGTCATAAATACAAACAAAAGACATAACTCTGATAATGTGCACTGTCCTTGAAGTTGATTGGTCCACACCCGAGACAGCTTTCCTTCGAGCCTAGTCTCATATGGGTTGGACCAGATGACGCCAAAAGGCGTCATCTGGTCCAACCCATATGCTGTCTCGGGTGTGGACCAATCAACTTCAAGGACAGTGCACATTATCAGAGTTATGTCTTTTGTTTGTATTTATGACTGCAGGTATTGCGGTCTATGCAAACATGACTCCTTGCAAAAAGGTGTCAGTTTTGTTGCCAGATAGAAGGGTAAAGAACCAATTATCATATTTTTACTGGCAAATGAGGTCCCCATAGTGATTATGATGATGTCGGCAACATTGAATGTCGTGGCGATAATGATAACACTGGTCAACACACTTTTTCTGGCATAAGGTATTCCAACGGGTTTAAGGTAATTTTGGGGTGCTGATTCCAAATCTGGCATCAGTTTTTGTCTATCACATCAGGTTTTTGAGATATCAAATATTACATTTTCAATAAAAACTGCAGAAGAAAAATATTAAATGTGGATATCTACATAAAATGATATTATAAACACACTATCCTAAAAATACAGCACCATATTTTAACACTAAAGCAGTCACTGACTCGCAACAACTTGCAATCATAAGTGACAGAGTTAATTTCGGGTAAAATCAATGAAGATGGGGTATACCGATAGCATAAAAATGAGATGTGATAGATAAAATCTGAGATCAGATTTGGAATCGGCACCCTGAAATTAGTCTAGAACAGCTGCAAAAGTCCAGACCAGTGTAATGGTCGTGGCAATGAAGGTGGAAATGGTGATGGCGGTGGCAATTTTGAGCAAGAAATATCTCTTTTACAAGCAAAACTCCATTCCGTGTCTCCACAAATGTAGTCCATCGGTCTATCGACCTCCCTTGCCTCACCACATCAACAGGCAGGCTTGTCAAATTCTACATTTGAAGCTTTCGTGACTGCAAGGATTCATACTCTTAGGTTTTTTCGGTAAAGTCACGTAGGTAAAAAATAAAAAATAAAATTAAAATGAATAAAAGTAAAATAAAATCACGACGTTTCAGAGGCAACACAAGCTTCCGTCTTCAGGTGGAACCGTCACAGCACGCTTGCTGTATCAAGCAATGATGATGGAAGGCTTGCCAAACAAATACGGCTGCTGCTGCTGCTGCCGGGTGACCAGATGTTCATGGCGAGTGTGCATCTCAATTCCAGGGGGGTGGTGGGGGGGGTGTCATTTCGTCGCCCTTCAGACTGCACTCACGTCGACGTAGAAGTTCTCCATATCGATCTGCTGCTTGCGCCGAGCGATGAGCGGCAGAGGAGAGGGCGACGCCGGAGCCTGCGGGGTCCTCCCCCCGCCCTCGCCCACGTCTCCACCATCGAGGTCCGAGAACCTGGGCGCCTGGTCGCCCACCCGGAACAGCCGCGCCATGTCGTAGTCCTCCTCGTTGATGAGGAATTCCTTCAGAGACTTCAGAGTGGCGTCCATCGTCTTCTTCACCTGCGCGCAGACGGGATATCGCGACGGCCGGTGATCGTGGCGATGGTGGTGATAGGTGGTGGTGATAGTGTAATGTGAGGATATATCCGGCTCACTGACGTATCACAACTCGTCATGGTGATTGGCTCTGCCGGTCCTGGTTTACAGCCAATGAGGGGAAGCCTGGGGGCGTGGCCCTGACGTGATGGAAGGGTGACAGCTGTAAGGATTGGTTCTGCTGGCTTTGGCCACAGCCAATGGGGAGATGAGTCAGGGGCGTGGTCCCGGGAGCTGACGAGGGAGCCTGGAAGATTCGATGCAGGCTAACGAGGATTGGTGGAAACGTACCACGTGACCCGGGTATTAAATAAGGGTGGAGACGAACGACACGTGGTCAGAACGGGAACGAACAGAGGAAGGGGGCCACGCGGGAGCGGGGCTCCGAGTTGCCACGTGGCAGTGCGTCTCTATCTATCTGTCCCTCTCACGCTGCCTATCAGCAGCGTGAAGTAACTGTAACATAAGTTGAATAAAGTCGTCTCAACGAGCTTTATTACAATAGTATTAGTGGTGGTGATGATGGTAGTGGTGATAGCGATGGTGGTGGCGATGATGACGGCGGTGGTGGTAATGATGCCAGTGGTGGTGATAATGATGATGGAAGTGGTGGTGATGGTGTTAGTGGTGATGATGATGATGATCGTGGTGTTGGTGACACTATGAAGACAATGACAACGATGAACACAACCGCTCATTCCCACCTCTTCACACTCGAGTTTATTTTTCCCGAGTTTTGCCCTGACACTGTTGAATCGTGAGTCGAGGTCTTGATGCAGGCGATCCTGAGCGGTGATTTGAGAAACCTGTAACAGACACAGCCATGCAGACAAGGCACACAAAACAAAGACACACGCAGATCAAACCTCCAAAGACGCAACAAAAACAACAGCCGCCATTCGCCACTAAATGGCGGTAACGTCACCAAAGGGGCTGTATGCCACAATTACATTGTATACGTCACAATTACATTGCATACGTCACAATTACATTGCATACGTCACAATTACATTGCATACGTCACAATTACATTGTATACGTCACAATTACATTGTATACGTCACAATTACATTGTATACGTCACAATTACATTGCATACGTCACAATTACATTGCATACGTCACAATTACATTGCATACGTCACAATTACATTGTATACGTCACAATTACATTGTATACGTCACAATTACATTGCATACGTCACAATTACATTGCATACGTCACAATTACATTGCATACGTCACAATTACATTGCATACGTCACAATTACATTGTATACGTCACAATTACATTGTATACGTCACAATTACATTGTATACGTCACAATTACATTGTATACGTCACAATTACATTGGATACGTCACAATTACATTGCATACGTCACAATTACATTGCATACGTCACAATTACATTGCATACGTCACAATTACATTGCATACGTCACAATTACATTGCATACGTCACAATTACATTGGATACGTCACAATTACATTGTATACGTCACAATTACATTGTATACGTCACAATTACATTGTATACGTCACAATTACATTGGATACGTCACAATTACATTGCATACGTCACAATTACATTGCATACGTCACAATTACATTGTATACGTCACAATTACATTGCATACGTCACAATTACATTGTATACGTCACAATTACATTGGATACGTCACAATTACATTGTATACGTCACAATTACATTGCATACGTCACAATTACATTGCATACGTCACAATTACATTGCATACGTCACAATTACATTGCATACGTCACAATTACATTGTATACGTCACAATTACATTGCATACGTCACAATTACATTGTATACGTCACAATTACATTGGATACGTCACAATTACATTGTATACGTCACAATTACATTGCATACGTCACAATTACATTGTATACGTCACAATTACATTGCATACGTCACAATTACATTGCATACGTCACAATTACATTGCATACGTCACAATTACATTGTATACGTCACAATTACATTGGATACGTCACAATTACATTGTATACGTCACAATTACATTGTATACGTCACAATTACATTGTATACGTCACAATTACATTGTATACGTCACAATTACATTGTATATGTCACAATTACATTGTATACGTCACAATTACATTGTATACGTCACAATTACATTGTATACGTCACAATTACATTGCATACGTCACAATTACATTGCATACGTCACAATTACATTGCATACGTCACAATTACATTGCATACGTCACAATTACATTGTATACGTCACAATTACATTGTATACGTCACAATTACATTGTATACGTCACAATTACATTGTATACGTCACAATTACATTGTATACGTCACAATTACATTGCATACGTCACAATTACATTGTATACGTCACAATTACATTTTATACGTCATCTCATACCATACCCCCATCACGTCCCGCACCACGTTGTCCCCTCCCACACCTCGTCACGACCCACACGCACAGAGCCCTATGGCTGTCGCCACCTCCACACAACTGACCACCGCTCCCCGCGCCGCGTCGTCCCCCATCGCTCCTCGTCGCCGGCCGGCACAACCTCGTCGCCGCCTGCCGTACCTCGTCGCCAGCGTGAGCCAGGAACATGAGCTTGGGTGGCACGGCCTTGTCGAGGCCCGTGGCCGCGAGGAACTCCTTGCGGTCGCTGCGGCTGACGAGGCCGTTCACAGGCGAGCTCGACCGCGTCCAGAGCTCGCGCGCGCGAGTCCGTGAGACAGAACTCAGCCGAGAGGTAGCAGCGCAGAGCGCCGTTCAGGCCCTCGTAGAAGCCCACCTCGTTCAGCTGGGGAGAGAGACGAAGGCGGTGATTGTGGCGTGAGAGGTAGTAGCGCAGAGTTGGTGATGTGTGTGCGAGGTGTTCCATGGTGTGTGTCGCATGGCGTGGTGAATGTGTCGCGCAATAGCAATGACGTCCTTAACGTGATGACGACAACGCAGATGATAATGTCAAGATGATATAATCGTCAATAATTAAAACATCATCAATGACATCTACAATGATGTTTGATGACGATGACAAATTCAATAACGTCTGCATCGATGATGATCATAACGACGATGTTGATGACGATATCAATGACGATGTCAACATCTGTCTTGATGGTGTCAACAAATTCTCCGACGGCCACGGTGGCGACGATGATTCTTTACGATGACGATAACACGACCAACGGTTTATTACGCCGACGACACGAACCACAGCTCAGACAACAGAGTCAGCGTCGATGACGACGATTGTGATAATTGGTTTTTTACCCTTCTATCTGGCAACAAAACTGACACCTTTTTTTTTACAAGGAGTCATGTTTGCATAGACCACAATACCTGCAGTCATAATGCAAACAAAAAACATAACTCTGATAATGAATGCACTGTCCTTGAAGTTGATTGGTCCACACCCGAGACAACTTTCCTTAGAGCCTAGTCTCACATGGTGTTGGACCAGATGACGCCAAAAGGCGCACAACTCAAAGACAATGCACCATCAGAGTATGAGAGCTCGGGGTAAGCATTTACACCATTGGAACCTCATTTGCCAGTAAAAATATGTTAATTGGTTTTTTACCCTTCTATCTGGCAACAAAACTGACACCTTTTTTACAAGGAGTCATGTCTACATAGACCACAATACCTGCAGTCATAATGCAGTTTTGTTGCCAGATAGAAGGGTAAAAAACCAATTATCATATTTTTACTGGCAAATGAGGTTCCAATGGTGTAGACGACGATTGTGTCGATGATGCCGACGATCGCGTCGAAATGACGACGACGTTGACAAGGACGTCAGTGCAGTGAGTCTCACGTCAAGGAGACGGTGCAGGTCCAACGTGTAGTACTGCTTGAGTGCCGTTTCCGCCGATCCCAGCGCCAGCAGGTAATCGTTCCGCTGCCTGGCAGTGGCGAGCTTGCTCTGGATGAACTTCTCCTGCCACTGCGCACACGCACACACGCGGGCCGGCACAGGGCGGACTCAGCGAGCACCGACTGTGGCTGGCAGGGCACACTCAGCAATGTTTTTGGGGAAATCTAATTCTATTAATTTATTTTTTCATCCGGATTGAAAGTTCATTTCTTTAGAGCTGCTTTTGGTGTGTTTAGTTTGTTGACCTTCACCCCGCACTTCCGATTAGCACGGTTGGCTAAGTAGGGTGCGAAAAAAGTTAAACATACATACATACAATCGGCAAACTTCTTGGTTCTTTCGGTAAAGTCACGTAGAATGGAAATAATAAAATAATAAAAATAAAACATCATAAAATAATTCTCACAACGTTTCGGCCACAACGCAAGCAGCCGTCCTCAGGTGAAGAACAGGTATGTCGAGAAGACAGTCTGAATGAGACTCTGTGAAGAATAGGTCTGTCGAGAAGACAGAGTCTAAATGAGACTCTGTCGATGATGCAGACGATCGAGAAGACAGAGTCTGAATGAGACTCTGTCTTCTCGACAGACCTGTTCTTCACCTGAGGACGGCTGCTTGCGTTGTGGCCGAAACGTCGTGAGAATTATTTTATTATGTTTTATTTTTATTATTTTATTATTTCCATTCTACGTGACTTTACCGAAAGAACCAAGAAGATGAATCCCTGCAGTCACGAAGAAGCTTTAAATCGAAATCGGCAAACTGTACTAGGATAAAAATTAATGCTGCTGCCAGACTCCTCACCCGCACACAGGAGCACGTCACCGCAGCGCGCCCATCAGCTCACTGACGCACAATGCAACCCTGGATCGAATTCACAATCACGCTCAGCGTCTTCAAGATCCTCCAAGCACTCTCCCCTGCCTACTTTCTCCCCTCTCATCTCACTCCACTCCTCTCCGCGCGCTCCCCTCTCCAGCAGATCAAGGATTTGTGCCGAAATCCCCCAGTCTGCCTTCGCTCAGTGGGAGGTCGTCCATTCTCCTCTGTTGCATCCACAGTCTGGAAGGCTCTTGCACAAGCCGCCCGTGCTGTGGGCTCCCTGCCCCTGTTCAATCCCAGGCTCAATACCTTCCTCCTCTGCCTATGACTGACTGCCGCTCTCTCTCCCACAGACTCACACAGAGCCCTGTGACTCTCTCTCTCCCACCGACTCACACAGAGCCCTGTGACTGTCTCTCTCTCTCTCCCACTGACTCACACAGAGCCCTGTGACTGACTGCCTCTCTCTCTCCCACCGTCTGTATTGAATAGCCATGCTCGCTCTTCCTGTGCGGTGTCTTGATACTGCGTTCGGATTTAATTGCCATTGAAATGTCTCTCTTGTACTGAGGTCACAATGCGTGTGATCAAATCGCCCGGGAATGCATCCCATCTCATCAGATCTCAGGAGCGAGGCACGCGTGAGCCCCGAAAGTGCAGCAACATCTATTTGCTGTACTGTACTTCTATGCTCCTGCATATATGCTCTCCCGCGTTCATCAACCCACACTGCTGAGCATGGTAAAGTACAATCATGTACCCCCCCCCCCACCCAATCATCTGCCCTGCAAGGCCTCATCCAGATAATGGCTATACATGGCCGTGAGATCACGTGACACCATGGGGATGGAATTTAAAAGAGAAACAAGCACACTGACAACCCCCCCCCTCCTCACCAACCCTGTGCATTGCAGGCGGTGGCGGAGGGGTCAGGTCGCCCGTTCCCACGGCCACTGGTGAAACGAGACACCTACGACGGAGGGGGTGTGGTGCTTACCCACGTGAGCATGCAATCATTCGCCCATTCACTGACTCACTGGCTCACTTGATCATTCGGCCATTCACTGACCCTCTCACTGGCTCACTATATCATTCCTCCCACCTCACTCGCTCGCACGCACGCTCACTTGATCATTCGCCCATTCACTGACTCACTGGCTCACTTGATCATTCGCCCATTCACTGACCCTCTCACTCACTCACTTTATAATTCGCCCACTTACTCTCTCGCTCACTCGCTCACTTTAGCATTCGCCCACTCACTCTCTCGCTCACTCGCTCACTTTAGCATTCGCCCACTCACTCTCTCGCTCACTCGCTCACTTTCAAAATCGCCCATTCACTCACTCTCTCACTTTATCATTCACCTATTCACTCGCTCTCTCACTTTATCATTCGCCCATTCACTCACTCTCTCACTTTATCATTCGCCCATTCACTGACTCATTCATTTATTCACTCACTCACTCAAGTCCCTTTTATAATAATTGCCCTTTTCACTTGCCTATTCAATACATCTCCAGATGTATTTTGTGCGTTTGAGTGTACTGTGCGTGTGACGCGCAAGATGGGCGTAATGTGCATCGGCATGGTGACAATCGTGAGCAGGCTGCTGCTACCAGCCCAGTGACCCAAGTTCGATTCCCAGCCACGGCTACCGTCAGTGATACCCGAACCGGTCCTCTGCACTCCCGAATCACTAATCCACACCGACCAGCGTGGTGAAATATGGCGAAATGCCCCCTTGTCCAACACAGCTTGGGTTGCCCTTCGTCCAGCGGCTGACAAAGGACCGTACATCTGTAGTGTTGTAAAGGACGGACTTCTAAACTTCTTTATGGCACACACTGTTTATTATCTTAATACACAGTCCCTATCACACTAAGGGGTATATGGTCCCCTCACCCGTTACCCTCAGAAGGTACAAGCCTCCGGACCTTGCAGGCTATCTAATCTCCCTGCTCTCCCAGCGTCCTCTGGCTGGACCTAGGGGATCTCTCCCCGACCACTGGTTACTCTGAGCCCTAGCCCTGATAAGGGCTGGAGGGCTTGGTCCAGGGTCCTAGATGTCTTCGGAGAGAGATGGAACAATTCAGAAGCGCGAGGAACTACAGACAAGCGAGGAACGCAGCAGCCAGGCAGTAAGCCGGCACTAAATCCCTCCCAAACCACCCTAAGCTCTGCCGTCCTCTAAATATTAAGGTGTTATCGGGCAAGTACCAAACATGCGAGGGAGAAACACTCTATCCCACACAAATGGAACATGTGTAGTTCCACATTTGCTGTACCGCATTCCCCTGACAAGGCAGGGTATGGCACCTTCCTGGAAGCATGTGGAAAGGGATTTTCACAACGTTTGTGTGACCCACCAACCCTCGCAACTCCCGAGTGCTGAATTACAGGACACGTCCGTTAGCCGCCGCCACCGCACGGCTAAAACATTTTAACGCAAAAAAAAAACTAAAAGCCTTTTCACCGTTAAAGTTCCTTCACGACGACGACCGTGACGACGCGCAGAGCTTCAAGCCTTCTCGATTCTCGCCACACGATAAAAAGAATTGCAATGCGACACTAAACACGAATTGCAAACCCCTTCCTGATCTTCCCCCTCGGGGTCCTCCTCCTGGTCTTTCCCCGCCTGGTCCCCCCTTCTGATCGTCCCGTCCTCCTCCTCCTGATTTTCCCGCTCTTTCTGGTTGCTGGCAACTGCTTCACCCTCCCCTACCGTCCCGCAACTCCCTCTAGACCCCGACAATCCGACCCCTCCCCGCACCTGCGATTAGCACGGTTGGCTACGTACGGTGCGGAACACGTTCGACACACACGGCGGTGCGGCCTTGCCACGAGCCCGTACCTTCTCCCGGTTCTTCTCGTTGCGCTTCGCTCCGCTCTCTCCCTGCTTCTCCTCGCGCTTCAGCACCTCCTGAAGCTTGGCTTCCTGCCAGCACGCTCTCCGAGTGGAAGGTGTGGTAGTCGCGCATGCTCTGGACACGGACGGGCGGACGGGCGACACGCAGCGTATGAACAACAAACGCCGTCGCGGGGCGGAAAAGGAGCGTGTCCTGGATATCACGCGGGCGCATAAACCGCGCGCTTCGTGTTATCGCAACTCGGTCTACGTGAGTCTACGGGTCTTTTTAAAGAGACTGTTGGGTCCCTCCCCCGGTTGTCTGTTCCGCTCCCCACATCAACCAGAACGCGTTCAGGTGCATGGGCCTGGCGGAGATTTGCGTGCGGTTGTTTTTGTCGCCAAACGGTGTGCAGCGGGCCTTTGTTCTTGTGTACAGAAAAAACATTTTTGTAAAAAAAAAATTGTTGTGGGTCCCTATGCGAGTCTATGTGTAGAGGAGCAGTGGGAGGAAGTGAGGAATCGGCAGGAAAGGGTGGGATGACGTCATAGCTTGACGTCATGTATCCAGAGGGGCAAGGTACATGGGGGGGAACCCGGGGTGAGGGGCGGGGTCGTTGTGGGTAGCCGAGGGAACGGAAGACACGCCGGAACGGAAAGACACGCCGAAACGGAAAGACACGCCGGAACGGAAAGACACGCCGGAACGGAAAGACACGCCGGAACGGAAAGACACGCCGAAACGGAAAGACACGCCGGAACGGAAAGACACGCCGGAACGGAAAGACACGCACGGAACGGAAAGACACGCACGGAACGGAAAGACACGCACGGAACGGAAAGACACGCCGGAACGGAAAGACACGCCGGAACGAAAAGACACGCCGGAACGGGAAGACACGCACGGAACGGAAAGACACGCCGCTCAGCACCGAGTCCCTCGTCCGAGGAAAGAGTGGGATTAGTGGGGAGCTTAGGTTAGATTTCGATTTAAAGCTTTCGTGACTGCAGGGATTCATCTTCTTGGTTCTTTCGGTAAAGTCACGTAGAAGGGAAGTAATAAAATAATAAAAATAAAACATAAAACACATTCTTCACCTGAGGACGGCTGCTTGCGTTGTGGCCGAAACGTCGTGAGAATTATTTTATTATGTTTTATTTTATTATTTTATTACTTCCCTTCTACGTGACGTTACCGAAAGAACCAAGAAGATGAAGCTTAGGTTAGGATAGGCCAAGGAGTTAAGCGGGTACCGGGACGGTCCACGGGAAGGACCAAGTGTAGAGGTACCTACCTCTGCTTTGATCCTGTGATCCTGTACGTGAGCGTGGTAGTTAATAAACTGGCAATAGCCCTTACGGAGAAGCTCGTCACCGTGAGAGTTTACACCTCTACAAATGTATCGCACCGGGTTGAGACCCTCAACTCATGACACTGGATTTACCCCGGTGTAATCACTGTGGTTGGGCGGCCGAGACCGGGGCTAAAATCCTGGATTTCGGCGGTGACGGTTCAGTGCCTTTGGAACTCTGTATGCTCCTCGGCCACCCCGTGACGATAAAGAGTTGAAACGGAACCGACGACGATGAACGCACCCCGTTGAGTTCTTGCAGGGTTTTGAACAGTTCATCTTGCACCTTCTGAATGATCTCCTTGCTCTGAACACAGGCGAAACACAACAATGACGGTGACGGTATTAAACAAATAAATAAACAATCATCAACAGCACATAATAATAATAGGGTTTTTCCACATTTTTTTTTTCTGGCGACAAAACTGAAACCTTTTGCAAGGAATCATGTCTGCATTAACCACAATACCTGCAGTCAGAATACAAGGGTGGGGTGGGGGGGGAAACCCTTGTCAAAGTCATCTCTCTTTGGCATACCTCAGCAACTGTTTTCGCTGTGGTGGTCCCCACCTGATGAAGGACGCTTGTGTTTTGTCCGAAACGTCGTGTTTTAATTTAGTTCTTTTCACTTTTTTATTTTAATTTGTATCTTTTATTTGAAATTTTATTTTATTTTATTATTATTTTCACCTATGTGACTTTACCGAAAGAACCAAAGAGTATGGATCCTTGCAGTCACGAAAACTTCAAATCTAGATGATCACCATGTCGATGACGATGACAATAATACCCTTGACCATGATGATGCAGTCAATTAAAATAACAATTATGATGACCATGATGACGATGAAAACAACAATGACGACGACGACGATAATGACGTTGAAGATAATGATCGTGTTATCGTTAGGACCGAGACAAAGATGATGACAAGTCTGACGCCGATAGACGTCGACGATAATGACCGCGACTGATGACCGTGTGTCAACCAGAGGTCGCAAATGGGTTTTAATTCCTTACCCGTACCCGTACCCGGCCGCACCAGGGTCGCAAATGGGTACCCGTTCCCTACCCGTACCCGTAGCCTACCCAAAATGAGTGACAAACGGTTACTCACCAGTGACTCACGGCCTACCCGTACCCGTACCCGGCCGGACCAGTGTCGCAAACGGGTACCCGTACCCGGGCGAGTACGGGTAGCCGGGTATCGGGTAGGGTACAGGTATCGGGTAGGGTACGGGTATCGGGTAGGGTACGGGTATCGGGTAGGGTACGGGTATCGGGTAGGGTACGGGTATCGGGTATCCGGTTGCGACCTCTGGTGTCAATGCTGCCGGTGACAATGAACAACAATGATGACGACGGTGTGGATGGAGCTGCCGCAGCCACCGCCATCATCACCCTGCCTTGCGAAGGAGGCGTGTCGAGTCCTCGTAGCTGTACGTGAGTCGGGGGACCACGGCGGAGTTGTACAACGTCGCCAGCTGCACGTGGTCCGCACTCTCGCGCTGAGCCTGCTCCAGCATCAGCTGCCAGCATGTGAGCGGCGTGGGCAGCCCACAGCCCTCGCTGCAGCGGCAGCGGCAGCGGCAGCGGCAGCAGCAGCAGCAGCGGCGGCGGCGGCGGCGGCGGCGGCAGCGGCAGCGGCAGCGGCAGCGGCAGCGGCAGCGGCAGCGGCAGCGGCAGCGGCAGCGGCAGCGGCAGTGAGGATGAGAAAAGAACAAAAGCATAAGTGCCATTGCCATCGTCATGATTGTTCAGTTACTAAACAAATGGCTTATCACGTGGAAATTTATAGCAGCCAAATACTCTAAACTAAACCCTCCTTCTCCTCCTCACCACCACCACCTCCTCACCGCTCACTCCTAAGGAGAACACGCAAACTCCAAATAAACAGGTGTCAGGGTCGGGACCGAACCCACGACCTCCTGTACACCAGACAAAGTAGTTAACATCTCGCCACCGTGGCACCCATCATCATCATCATCAGCATCTCCTTACTGGCCATTTCCATCAGAGATATGTAATGGAGGCCCAAAATAAGCCGAATAAAATCCTAGTTTTCCACGCTCATGCTCAACTCCTTATACGGGCGAAGGGCGGGGTGACCTGAGTAGTAGTTGGGGCTGGCAAGGGGGTGAGTGAGGCCTACACGCAGGAGACGGGACCTACATCGGTAAGAGTGAGGAGGAGGAGGCTGCTCACTGTGTGGGCAGGGATAGTGACGCAGTGAGCGTGGCTATATAAAAGTGTGCGAGGCTGACGGAGCGAGGGTGGGGCTAGCAGCTCGCCACAAGTCCCAGTGGGAGCATGCGGGACTTGAAGAGAAACCCGACGGAAAGGAAGGCTGAGAGAAGTCCAGAGGCGAGGAAGGGTTAAGGGGATCCCAGGAGCAGAGGTCGCAACCGGGTACCCGATACCCGTACCCTACCCGATACCCGGCTACCCGTACCCAGCCGGGTACGGGTACGGGTACCCGATACCCGTACCCTACCCGATACCTGGCTACCCGTACCCAGCCGGGTACGGGTACGGATACCCGTTTGCGACCCTGGTGCGGCCGGGTACGGGTACGGGTAGGCCGTGAGTCACCGGTGAGTAACCGTTTGTCACTCATTTCGGGTAGGGTACGGGTACGGGTAGGCAGTGAGTCACCGGTGAGTCACCGTTTGTCACTCATTTCGGGTAGGGTACGGGTAGCGTACGGGTACCTATACCCGGCCGGGTACGGGTACGGGTACCCGTTTGCGACCCTGGTGCGGCCGGGTACGGGTACGGGTACGGGTAAGGAATCAAAACCCGTTTGCGACCTCTACCCAGGAGGGAGAGGGGGGCACCTCACCGGAGCAGGGTGTCGCGTGACCCGGGGCGCAGGCGGGCTGCGAACCGCTCGGCGAGGCGGTCGAGCGAGCGGGCGTACTCGTTCTCGATGTCAGCGCGACGACGCAGGAACTCGATGGAGTCGGAGAGCATGGCCAGGCGCAGGTCGGCGTGGTGCTCCAGCGTGTGCACGTGCTCCGCCAGGGACGACCGCAGATCTGCCACGCGGCAAAGACAATAATAATAATAGTTCAATTTGTAACGCGCGCAAATTTGCAGACGTAGTGGCCGCAACTCAGAGACGTGGAGCCAAGCTCAGAGTCGCTCGAAAGCATGATTGTAGAGGTGAGTTTTTAAGTTTCTCTTGAAGGAGGCGATTGAGGTGATGCTGCGAATGTGCAGAGGGGTGATGGCGTTCCAGACTGTTGGGGCTGCCACCGAGAAGCGGCGCATAGCCGTGACAATCCTGGATCTTGGTATCAAGAGGAGGTCGTGAGTCACGCCGCGCAGGCATCTGCCGTGTGCTGAGCTGCAAGTTGTCAATAATGAAGAAAGGTACAGCGGGCAGGCGAAGCCTCGACAGACCGTTGATGGGGAAAGTTTCTGAGTCGCCGCCTATAGAGGCCGGCACGGCACACGAGGGGGTGGGTGGCCAGCATCGTGCAAAGGCCGCTTTTTTTTTAATCCTAGTAGCGATGTTGACACATTTCACCGGGTACTCATGTGAGGGTAAGTGGAGCGAATGGAGGCCCAGGACAGGTTCAGATCAACATCACTGGTGTTGGCCGAGGAGGAATTGAACTCGGGTCAACGGGTTAGTAGCGCAACACGCTAACCACTCCCTACCGCTGCCCACAAGCACAAAACAAGCACAAAGACAAAGATCCCCCGTGAAGCCTCAAGACTTTTGGGGAAAGTGCCGTCGGCAAGCACCAATGAAGGGCGGCACAGCACGAACACATCTTCTTGGTTCTTTCGGTAAAGTCACGTAGAAGGGAAATAATAAAATAATAAAATATAAAACGCTGTCTTCCCGACAGACCTGTTCTTCACCTGAGGACGGCTGCTTGCGTTGTGGCCGAAACGTCGTGAGAATTATTGTATTATGTTTTATATTTATTATTTTATTATTTCCCTTCTACGTGACTTCACCGAAAGAACCAAGAAGATGAATCCCTGCAGTCACGAAAGCTTTAAATCGAAACACAACACAGCTTCTTCAAGCACCATGAAGTAGGGCCACTGCCTGAAACGTTGCCTCTTGTATATTTTCCCTTTGAAGACGACACTGTTATTGACGAATGCGTTCCGTTGTTTGGTTATTTGTGGTTGTGCACAATTGCCAACAAAGCAGCGGCATAAGGAATGTTGTTATTCCAAGATATAGTTGAACTTATTCAGTTACGAGAATAGGTGTTCCCCTTTTTTCTGGCAACAAAACAGTTGTGTAAGACTGTTAAAACACCAAACTGAAACCTTTAACAAGGAATCATGTCTGCATTAACCACAATACTTGTGGTCAGAATGTAAACAAATAACAGTCCGATAATATAAGATATGCATTGTCTTTGAAACTGATTGGTCCACATCAGAGACAGCTTTCTTTTGAGCCTAGTCTCAAAACGGTGTTAGACCAAAGGATGCCAAAAGGCGTACATCACAAAGACAATGCACTATCAGAGTAATGATGGCTCAGGGTTGAGCATCTACATCGTGGGACCTCGTTTGCCACTACCAAAATATGACAATAGGTTTTCACCTTTTTTCTGGCAACAAAATAAATGTTAAAACGTTAAAACACCAAACTGAAGACCTTTTACAAAGAATCATGTCTGCATTTACCACAATACTTGTGGTCAGAATGCAAAAAAAACCACTCTGATAATATCTGGCATTGTCTTTGAAACTGATTGAAATTGAAAGTTTGGTCTTTTCACATCTTAACGCACGTTTTGTTGCCAGAACAAAAAAGGCGAAAACCTATTCTCATATTTTGTTACTGGCAAAGGAGGTCACGTGATGTATTCAGTTACAGTTCAAAGTGTTTCGAAGAAAAGGGTCCTACGGCAGGGCCTGGTTTAGTGCAGCGACCAATCACTAATTGACTCACACACAAATGGTGCCTTATTTGTTGTTGTTGTTGTGTACAAACCCTTGAAAGTACAACTGGCTCAATTAACAGTTTACGTTGGAAAAAATCGCAACAGTGAGTAGGCGTGGCCAACGGCACACTGCAGCCAATCACACGCGAGTGGTGGTGGAGGGAGGGGCCTACGGCTCACTGCAGCCAATCACACGCGAGTGGTGGTGGAGGGAGGGGCCAACGGCACACTGCAGCCAATCACACGCGAGTGGTGGTGGGGGGAGGGGCCTACGGCACACTGCAGCCAATCACACGCGAGTGGTGGTGGAGGGAGGGGCCAACGGCACACTGCAGCCAATCACACGCGAGTGGTGGGGTGGAGGGCGTGGCCAACGGCACACTGCAGCCAATCACACGCGAGTGGTGGCGGTGGAGGGAGGGGCCAACGGCACACTGCAGCCAATCACACGCGAGTGGTGGTGGAGAGGGCGTGGCCAACGACACACTGTAGCCAATCACACGCGAGTGGGAGGGGCCACGCTGCCCTTTGAAAAAAGGTGACCAAACCAGTTCTACTGGGGTGCATTCCGCATTAAACAAGCGACAAGGCAAGATCAATGAAAAGTGTCAAAATACATATATATACCGTTGGGTCAGCAATCATGCCTGAAATTCCACCACTGATGTCTCTCTTGATGCAGCTAATCTGGCTGTGACGGTCCCAGCTGATGACGGAGACTTGTGTTGCCTCCGAAACGTCGTGATCTTTATTTTAATTATTTTATTTTTATTAATTTTGATGTTTTACCTACGTGACTTTGCCGAAAAAACCTAAGAATATGAATCCATGCAGTCACGAAAGCTTCAAATCTAGAATTGATGTCATCTTCTTTCCCCCCCCCCCCCCCCCATGTGTGCAGATACTACTGGCTCTATTGTATGTAGGGTGTGTAGGCATATATTGCTACAAAATACATTTATATTTTTTGTTGTGGGGGGGGTAGGGGGTCCACAATTGTTGGAACCCTGTTGGATCAACTTTTTTACTGCACACATCTGGAGGACTGGCGGGTCCACTTTCTCTAACTGTTTGATTCAGGCCATTTCTGAAAGGCTCTGATCATTTAGTTGTTTGTTGTAGTACAGAGTTAGACTGATGGCCTTAATCTAAGTTGTCTTGTGGTTGTTGTTGTTTGACTTGCATCCCACTGGGATTTTTGCACACAGCGTTGGTGTACGGTGCTTTTTCTGCAATATTTTGCTGTCTTTTTTTGCATTTTCTGTTTGCACTTAGTCACATATTCACTTTAAGATGTTTTCTTGTTCATGTTTTTTGTTTGTTGCGGTTGCAACCGATTCAAGAGCCGAATGGCTCACAGGGCTATACCAATTACATGAACTTGAACTTGACGGACAAAGAAGACAAACGGAACGCCGGGCTTTCATAATATCACCGCACTAATTTGCGTTGGCAGTGCTGCTCCAACAATGGCTCGTCAACAGATCGGCCAGAGAGACAGAGTGGATAGTAGGAGTTGGAGAGACCTTCAGAATTGGCGGCCACTGCGCTCTGCTAAGACTTTGACAACTGCTTACAACAACAGGCGTTGTCCTTCTTCTTGGTTCTTTCGGTAAAGTCACGTAGAAGGGAAGTAATAAAATAATAAAAATAAAACATAATAAAATAAAATAATTCTCACGACGTTTCGGCTACAACGCAAGCAGCCGTCTTCAGGTGAAGAATGAGACACTGCCAAGCTAGGAGCTTATATATAAGCTGAGTTGGAGGTGGAAGAAGAGCGCCTTAACTAAAGAATGTGCATATCAAGAGGAATTTAGCATATTCATGGGAAATGCGTAGGAGGTGGGCGGGGGGGTTTCAAAGTCATATTATGCCCATGCATTATGCAGGATCAGCAGCACCAAGGGAGGGTTCAGGGAGTAGCATTAACAAAGGAAAGGAATGTTAATAGTATGTAGCTGCAGTTACTAAACAACCACGTAGAAAACTAAAGTATAAACTACATAAAAAACTCAAGTATAAAGGCGTTGTTCTGTGTTGAAACGACTCAACATCGCAATCACAGGCGCAAAGGCGGTACGCTGTAAACCTCAGAATTAAAAACAAACTGCAAATTGCAATTTAAGGGGGAAGACAGAGGAGTTGGCTGATGAGTTTCAGAGTCTAGCAGTGGGGGAGGGTGATGGAGGATGGTGATGGTGATGGAGGGTGATGGATGGTGATGGTGAGGGAGGGTGATGGTGAGGGAGGGTGATGGAGTGTGATGGTGAGGGAGGGTGATGGTGAGGGAGGGTGATGGAGGGTGATGGTGATGGAGTGTGATGGTGAGGGAGGGTGATGGTGAGGGAGGGTGATGGTGAGGGAGGGTGATGGTGAGGGAGGGTGATGGAGGGTGATGGTGATGGAGGGTGATGGTGATGGTGATGGAGTGTGATGGAGATGGAGGGTGATGGTGAGGGAGGGTGATGGTGAGGGAGGGTGATGGAGGGTGATGGTGATGGAGTGTGATGGTGATGGAGTGTGATGGTGATGGTGATGGAGTGTGATGGAGATGGAGGGTGATGGTGATGGAGTGTGATGGTGATGGAGTGTGATGGTGATGGTGATGGAGTGTGATGGAGATGGAGGGTGATGGTGAGGGAGGGTGATGGAGGGTGATGGTGATGGAGTGTGATGGTGATGGAGTGTGATGGAGATGGAGGGTGATGGGTTCCAAGAGTTTGGCAGTCAAGAGTGAGAAGAAAGAGGTAAAGTGATTTCGCCATAGGGCTTTGCAAAGAAAGTTGCGTGTGTCTGTTGAACTTCTTTCACACAGTACGTAGCCAACCGCACTAATCGTAGGTGCGGGGGGGAGAAGGGAAATAAACTAAACACAGGCAGTTCTAAAGAAATTAGTTTTAAATCTAGACTTGAAAGTGCACCGCTCCAGTGGTTTGCTAATATCGCAAGGAAGAACTTTCCAGACGGCCGAAGATGCGCATCTAAAAGCACGCGATGCGGTGACCGTCTTTCAGAGGTCGCAAACGGGTTTTGATTCCTTACCCGTACCCCTACCCGGTCGCACCAGGGTCGAAAACAGGTACCCGTACCCTACCCGATACCCAGCTACCCGT